TGCTGGGGGCTGAAATGWTGGTCTATGTGGTCTTTCCAAAAAATGACTTCGGAATACACAAGTGCTTTTTCATGACCAGGAATTCTTACTGGAATAACTAGGTTCTACTCACACTGTCCCCCAGCCACCCATTTGATTCCAATCCACCACCACATGACCATAGTAGAATGATGATAAACATGTAGGAATGAGACCTGGTTATTCTTCTTTCTAAGTATGAAAAATATCTAAAGAATCGAACAAAAAAGATTATTCAATTACAGCGGAAATCGTTSCATCGCGACCTCTTTGTTTTGAAGTTTGTCTGGATTTTGTTCTTTCTTTCAATCTGAGGGGCGGAGCTTTTCGAAAACTCGTTCAATCATTGGCTGATTAGTATCAAGCTCCGCCCCCAAGTCGCAGAAAAACCTAAATCCMAACTATTTCCTTTGAACATTGAAGTCGCGATGCAACAGTTTCTGCTGTAAAATAATCAAGATATTTGATATATCAAAGGTCTCTTGAACTCTACAGATGGAACTATATTCATATGCTTTGATTAGAGCTGGATTTTGTTTAACACTATTGGCAGGAGATCTTGGTATACGACGTTACTTACTGTATCTAGAAATTCTATCATCTTTGACACATAGAACCACCATAGCACCACAGCAATCTGAACAAAATAAGCTTGATATTTTACTAAAAATATTTTAGCACTCTTTGAGTYWGAACAAAATGCAATTTTTGGAGTATGTGGACATACAATCACATTTTGCTTGTGCAATCATGGATGAAATACAAAATGGTATAAAAATCTTCACTGGTAATATGCCTTTTGCATGAAACGGTCACATGGTACTAAATCTGCCATACTGGATGGCAAAAGATTGTAAACAACCTCAAAAACAAAAGGAACGCAGCCCACCAAGCTTGACTTTTCTTTGTTTTGAAAATCCCAGTGAATACTTTGCCATCCAATATGGTGGATTTTGTACCATGTGACTGTTTCATGCAAAAGACCTATTAAATGCAAGATTATAGTAGTTTGAGATAAGATGGCATGTGCGCAATAATAAATGTTAATAGCAATGCAATGCTAATAGCAATGCAATGCTAAGTTCTCATTCAGACTGTGCCAAAATTTTATGGCCTGACATTTTTCATTTCCCAGTTATTCATTCTTTAATCTATCCATATCCACTCATTTCATTTATTCATCCTTTATTACACCATCCATTTATTCTTTCTTTTTTTCTTTTTTCTTTTGTAATCACTTACTCTTAGTTCTTTTGGGTCATTGTTGTAAACCATTTCCTGACAGCTGTAGCTATAACCAGCATCCCTTGTTGCAAGGAAAAGCTGAAAATTGAAAGACCAAACTCAAATTTTTCATATTCATAAGAAGCCAAGATTAAAGTGCTACTTGCATGAAAAAGGCCTTATTTCAAAACTTCAAGCAATACAAATATATGACTCATTGATATCAATTAAAAACAATTGCGGGAAAATATTTGTTTTGGAATTATCCCACATCAGATAAATTTTGATTCAAAAGATGGAAGAACAAAAGGATTGAGTAAATTAAATGACGTCATCTACTCCAACATTTTTTTGCCCAAATTATCAAGGATTTGTATCAATATCTTCTTGAAATCTGCTGCTTCATGATTATTAGACCCATATGAATAGGTCTATTTGATTTCCAAGTCTTTTCTTAAGATTGGAAATTTTCGTCCAAGTAGCCCTTGAAAGAACTGTTATCATAGCCTGGATGAGCAGTGGTGATAGATTTTGGATTTCCCAGAAAGTGCATATGTACATGTAAGATATGTTATACCTATAAGACCTTATAAAGGACAGTGGTCATCATTACGGTTGGTTTAGTTTCAATAGAACCAAAATTAACTGCAAAAATCATCCATTCCTTTCAAAAACACATATAGACCCCTTGCATGTGACGTCAAAACAGCTTCATCTGGAGGACAAAACAAAAGATTTTTATCCTCTTGGGAACTAGAATCTATTCCCATGAACTGCAAGGGGTCTATAACAATCTCAGAACTGGACTAGTTATTACAAAAGCAAGGACTAGTCTGTAAATTGTGCCCAYAGCATTAGGGGTATCGAATGGTAAATCCGAGCCTCGCAGAGCCTGCAAGCCCCTCGTTTTAAAAGCCGAGCCTGAGCCTTTGACTGAATGAGTCCGATTTTCATCAATTGCAATCTTCCCAGCCGAAAGCAAATTAAAATCCGAGCCCCTTTCTTTTAAGCACCAAGCTTGCGAGCCTTGGTGAATTTTTGGCGAACCTCATAATTTCTGAGACACCATTCTATACCCCTAACATTGTACAATGGTAGCGCAAAGCCAACTAAGGGGGGTGGGGTGTGTACTAACATACCTCTATAAACATATATAGGTTTAAAAGTGTCATAGAAGCATTATATATAGCCATCGGCCATTGTAAAGTAAATGGTTTCCTGTTCTCCATTATTTTGGGTCCAACCAAGACGATTGTCAAGTATGCCAAAACCATAAGGAGKGGGTGATGTACATTTTCTACAAAAAGCCATTTGGATGTCCTGGGATCTGTGAAGTCCAAAGGGAAGCCATTGAAGTGTTATGGAATACTTGATCAAAGTTATTTTGTGTCAAAAATGCCTCATTTATTACTCATAGAAGCTCCTAGTGTCAAAGAATGTTTCACTGAATCCACTGTGTAGCTGTCACAGAATGTTTGATCAAGGAAACCATTTGAATGTCATGGAATACATAGCCAGTGATTATGTATTAGACCATGAATTGTTATTGTCATCAAAATTTTTATCATTATCATCATCATTATCATCATTATCCTCACCGCTGTGATTGACAGCCCAATGATAGAATGACTGAATGTCCCTAATCCACGTTGAAGACATACCCAAACTTTCTGTATTTCAAAATAATGCAGACTTACAGTCAGACTGAGTGTTAAGATTTAAAATATTATTTTCACTAGTGAAAATATCAATTTTACGAAATGGAGAAATATAGGTATTTCATAGATAATTATATGATAAAGCCTTTTATTGTATATATAGSAACGGAAAACCTCTATTCAGCGACCACATCGGAAAGTCCTGATTAAACTCCCATAAACTGTTTCGATTTCCTGACCTCTCAAGGAATTATCATCTTTACAAAAATAAGCTCTAGCTGCTGTCAAAACTGATTTTAGTAACACGTTGTGTGCTTTTTCTATCAAAAAATTATTGCTGTTTTTTAAGAACTTTTAAATCGGAAAGCTTTTATTGTAGTTATTCATTTGATCATACAAGAAAGATGTAATGTATACGGAAGTTTACGCCGAAATTCAGATCGAGGTTTTCATATAATTTGTAATTCAAAGCAATTGTTCACATCAAATAACTATATTGGCAAATTAAAGCAATCATTTTGAAAACACATGCCTTATATTTCACTAAATGTCAAATTGAACTTCTGCCATAGCGACCGTGCATCTATAATCGATCGCTGCACATGGCTGGAGGGCCTAATACACCCTAGTTCATTACCACCTTGACTCCTCGCTCAATATATACCCCAAATTGGACTTCGAGTTTTCAAGAAAGAAGTTTAATAAACTGTTGTACTATACCTGAAGTTTTCAGCGTGGAGTGAGTAACTTTGKACGTCCTSTAGTAATGTCAAAATGGTCCAAAGATCAAAGTCAGCTGTCAAGCTGCCATTGACAGTGAAAGTACAATGACAGATCGAACCACGGCAATCAACCAATCACGTTGCGGTATTGTCAAGCAATTAGACCCCATCTCTCCCAAATAAATCCTTTCGCACCTCGCTTCTTTTCAATACGCTGTAGCATTGTCAAGTCTGGTAAGTAACCTAGCGATTTTGCATGCTTTTTGAAATCTTCACTTRACTTAAACACCCAATAACTATCAACAGATTGCAGAGCTTTGTAAAAACATTMTCCAAGTAACAAGGAATCGTTTTTTGCGCGTTTTCGCCCATGTCAATTGCCCCTGCAAAACATTCTCGTACCCTCGTAATACAATTAATGTTTTTTCTACTTAATTTTCTCGCATTTTTGCATGATATTTCTGAAATCTGCCTGCCATATCTTTGTTTATAATTTTTCAGGTGTGCATAAATGTGCTTTTAGTTTTTTCCATGCGGACTTTCGACTTTGCGAAATACGATCGTTCTTGCGAAATACTAAGTCAAATTATAACAATAGTCCGGTGAAATGTGTACTATGTACAAAATGCTAGATTAAAACAGAATTGTCTATAAGTTGTAAATGAATTTTAGGCGATGTTTATCAATAGCTCGTGTCGCTAAATAAAAGATAAAAAAGGTTTTTTAAACATTCAGCTGTTCTTAACATGGAGATTTTAGCTTTAAAATATCATTTACGTTTTTAATTACTTCGATTAAATGTCGCTAAACATTTTTGTATTTTAGTGGTAAATTAATCTTAAAACTTATTTAAGTTTAACTTATTTAAGTTTAACTTTATATAAACTTAAGTTTATTTGACCTGGCTCACCTTCAATATCCGAAAAAGAAATATTTTTTGTAGATTACGAAACAATAGAGAAACAATAACCGAGAAACAAATGATCAAAATGACAAAAATTGCATTTTTAAATTATCAAAAGCTAGGAATATCAACAATCGAAAAGAATAAATGATCAGAAAGGAATAGCCGTCCTTCATGGTTCCCATGCAACCTTGGCCACCCTTTTAAGACACCACAGGGAACTGAGAAGGATTGAGTTTTAACAGAGAAATTAATGACTGCATGTTAAAGAATGAATGATCACATGCATCAGAATAAGTGATCATAATATTGATTCAATCRTCAATATCCTGAGAAGTTTTCTTGTGTTTCCAGCACCGCAGGTTGTTGTTTGCATCAATTTCACCATGGCAACCACTCAACGCTTAGTGGAATATTATGARTTTATTATGGCCAAGGGAGGTAGGTTATGAATATTTTTGGCTGTCTTGAAAGGAAGTGGCAGTTACCTGCAAAGGCAGGTTTTGCTTAGAAAGGCTGATTTCCTGGAAAGTAATRATGATTGCCTGGAAAATAARGGTGATTGCCTGGAAAGGAAGGGCTWATCACCTGCAAAGKAYGTTTGATTACCTGAAGAGGAAGTCTGATTTCTKTGAAATGTGATTGCYTGGAAAAAAGMGGCAGTTACCTGGAAAAGAAGGGCCATTATCTGGAAAGGAAAAGTCTTCTATTTAAAGCCCTAACACAGCAATGAAGTACTRGTGAAGTATATTACAAGCCAGACAGATATGGATAATATAATATTGACTTGTTATGCAGATCCAAGAACACATGAATGGCCGATGATAGCCACACCCTGGCCGACGCTTTGCCTTATGACCTTGTACTTAATCATTGTTAAAGTTGGACCRAAACTGATGGAAAACCGTAAGCCATGGGAATTGAAAGAAGTCCTGGTTGTCTATAACTTTGGTCTGGTTTTACTATCTGCGTACATGTTATATGAGGTAAAAAGAACAAAGTTTTATTGACTATTAGTGCAAGAAATGTCACTAGCATGTAGATCCAAGATTGTATTCCAATTTCAGGAAATAACCTGATAATCATTTCAATACTCCATTTTACAGTTCCAAGCGCCATCTTGAAAGGTAGCCAAGCATTTGCATCAAGCGAGACAGGAGTTGAGCCTGCAGTGATATATACCTTTTGTTATGCTTAAGATAATTACTCACAAGTATCTATCAATGTAAGCTCAACTGCTGTCTTGCTTTGATACAAAGGCTTGGCTAACCTTCCATCATGTTGATGGAAACTATGGAGTAAACTGGAGAGTGTTTCAAATATTTTTTTTTCTTGACAGTTTATTGCATCAATCCTGAGTATGCCKGACTTCAACTTGTGGTGTGAAATAGTCAAGTATGAAGATGATCCAAGACTTCTGAGGGTCAGTCGTTAATTCCTATTTCAACCATTTTTCATCTTTGCAACTTTGTAGCCCTATTATAGTGGGTTGTCATACTTCAAATTAGCACATAAAAAGTGCATTAACACCGTAAACTAGAACACAAACTAAACTGAACACAACGGAGCAGTGTCTTCTGTAAACCACCACGAAAATAAGAGCAAAACAAAAAAAAAAAATCTCTTAAATCAGCAAATAAACCCCAACTTTCCTTGTCTTTTGATGTGATTCCTTTAGCAGGTCAGCAGGTAATTGACTTTTGTTGTATTTTTTTTTCTAGTTGGCTAGAGTAATATATATCTACTACCTTTCCAAGTTTGTGGAGTACTTTGATACAGTAAGTGCATTTAACAWATGTTCCAGCATGCAATGATTGCATGTATTGGCGCCATGATATAATTGTCAAATAATTTWTAAATATATGGTGGGAAATTTTTGTTTATCATGCACAGTTTTATGACCTCTTATTGACACACTTCTCGACGTCATAAAATGTTCAAAACTCAAGTGAAAAACCTTCTTTTCTTTCAACTGAGTGTGCACAGGAAGGTTCATTGTCAGCACAGTTTGTATACGTCCCCTTACTGACATACTCTAAAGTTATTGCATGAGAATTGACACAAGTGTAGTAAAAACTTCAATATACCATCCCATTTCCATTTATTTATTCAATTCTCATTTTTTTGTTTCCAGTTTTTCTTCATCCTTCGTAAAAAGAACAACCAAGTAACCTTCCTTCATGTCTACCATCATGCAACTATGTGTTTATTATGGTGGATGGTGTGCAAGTGGATTGCTGGTGGTCTTTGTAAGTATATTAACTTGTAATAWGAATACCAGAGCAAACACAGGAAAGCCATGAAATATAACCAAACTTAATACTAACAAATAGCAGCTATATAAAGACAATTTGTCCAGAATGCAATTAAGATGAATCCATGTGAGACTTTAACCTATTGTGCAACAAAGAACATACGATGAACTAATGAATTGATGCAAKTAAAAATGGTTTTCTTATGTTTGCTTTAGGACAAGTTAACAGGAACATTATGTTTGTCTTTAGTTCAATGAAATCATGTGTAAACAGGAGAAACCAAAAGTTACCTTCAAATTTCCTTYAAGTACCCACCCTGATTTTTTCCATGATTTTCTTGAAAACTTTCTCACTATGAAACCAATGTATAGGCCTTGTTCAACAGTGGCAGATCCAGGGGGGGTCATTTGGTGAATGGGCACCCCCTGGGCTCTTAAAACTTGCACACAATTCAGTTACTCTGGTGCATCTCTTCTTAGTGTGATGTCATCACCTGATAGTGCACCCCCCCTGAGAAATATACCGAAATTTACCCCTGTTTAATGCATCATGCAGAGAGTTTATCATGTTTTTATTAAAGATATTTGATAATTTTCTTRTTTTCAAGCTTACTTTGGTGCAACCGTCAATAGTTTCATTCATATCATCATGTATCTATATTATGGTCTGTCCGCTATGGGACCTACTGTCAGGAAGTATCTTTGGTGGAAGAAGTACTTGACCAAAATGCAACTGGTAAGATTTGACAGTTCATAACTTTTTACATTTTTCTTTTGTGTTGTTAATAGCCAACTTTAGATATTTTGGTTCAGTGACAGTGCACAAATGAATTGCAGCAAGGCTCCDGGGAAATAAAAGAATAAATCAAGATTATCCATTATTTTCCTGGAGCCTCTTTGTGTTCTTTTAGTCGTCAAACCAAAATAGTTGACTATTGCTTTTGTGCTGCTTTGTAAGTATAATTACTTTAACGAATGATTTCTTAAATGCTCCATCTTGATTGCAAACAGATGTACCGTGTATACAGCTATTTCAAAAAACGTTGTCGGAGAGAATGGCAAACAGCGATTGTCAAAGGGAGATTGCACGACTGAAAGGAACTATGGTTACAGTGTTTTGATAAACATAAATTCACCTTCTATAGAAATGGTGACTATGAAGCCACTGTTTACCACAGACCATCTTACAGTACAAATCAGTTGTTATTGCCTTCAACTAGCAAAACGCATGGCTACTCTTGATTGTGCAATCGCCATTCGACCATTGACATTCGTCATTTTATCCGACAACCTTTTTTGAAATAGCTATGTACTTTTGAAATAAAAATGATGGACACTAGCAGAAACTAGAGTTAGCTGTGTCAATGTTTCTAAAGAAAAACAGTTGTGGAGTAATAAGATGAATTACACACTATAAAAAGAATGTGAAATAACAATATACTGATGTTTTATACATAAAGGCTAACGTCAGAATTTCAYATAATTTTTTCGCTGTACATTCATCTTATTCCACAACCAGCTATCTGCGAGCTACTTACAGGTATATTGTTTGCACTGTACTGTCATGACTGTCAACACTTCTGTCATAGCTGTGTTGTGTCAAAAATGTYCAGGAAATGCATTTAATTTCCACACAAACTACTGSATGAAAACTTTAAAATTGCCTCAAAACTCCGCATTCCTACGCACTGGTAAAAGTAACTTAAAGTAAACTTATGGTTAGCAATGACAACATCACTTGCATAAGAATCTAAGATAGATAAGTTAAAACTGATAAAGGCATGTATAATTCAATTTTGAAAATGTCACATTCAGTTAATGCATCTAGATTTATGCCAATAAATTGCAATACATTGATCTCTTAGAAGAGATGTTTTGAAAGAATAAGCATTAAATTCTTTAAGTTAATAATTCTTTACCTTTCCTTTCAATTGTGGCAAATAGTTTTTTTAGGTGCAGATCTTTCTCTCAGATGTCAATTTTTTAATGTAAAGTGTGTAGAAAGTTGACAGGTTTGTTTCATGTTCAACAGATTCAGTTTTTGGCTGTGATCTATACGGCAAGCTACGCTCTTGTACACGAGGAATGCGGCATGCCAAGGTTTTTCCTTTGGCTACAACTTGGCTATGGAATGACGCTACTTATGCTATTCTCACACTTTTATGCTATAACTTACTTAAGCAAGAATACCAAGGATAAAAAACAGGAATAGAATCAACAGAATTTGTCAGTTTTTTTTCCACAACAATACTTTTAGTGCATATTGTACTTTACGTATCCACATAGATTGCAATTCTATTTATATATGAGTCACCAAGCAAAATTAAACTGAATAGACTAACAAAGTTGTATAGAGAAGAGCAAAGTGTACTCGTAAGATTTGCGACAAAATAATGTAGCTTCTTGATTGATTCAATAATTTACATTACAAGTAAACTAGCTAAACTGTTTAGAAAAAGGATGTGACATTTTTGAAATAAACAATTCAAAACTACTAACGCTGTTSTCTTGTTGTCACTTATAAAAGCTTATATAAAACCACAACTAACACACCATTAATAGCCATTGGAACAGCAATAATACCGAGCATGGTTGCATTTGACTGTGACTAAATCATGAAAATAAATATTTAGTATTTGTTAGCAAAGACAAAGAAAGAAATATAGTTTCAGAGTGTGAAACTGGCCATTAGTCTTACAAATCTTTCACGGTCAAATAAAAACTCTACTTTACTTTATCATGCATGCAGGCAAACAATTCAGGTTGATAAGCTGCACGCGGCCTACTCGGCTCGTCCCCTAATGATTAATAATTAAATTCAAAGCTCAAGTGCACCCGAGAGCCTTTGCGCGATTTTCTCATACACGAAAAATCGTCATCTTTGATTTTGAACCAATCAGAAAGCACCTTTCAAGCAGAGATTATTTGTAAAACATTAAGCAAACGATCGCAAAGGGTTTCGGTTGCACATCGGCCTTTCAGTGCACTGACTCAAGATACTTTGATATCTTTTTTAACAGATTCAATTCTCATGTGTTGTGGTACACACTAACTACGGCATTCATCTAAACTGTGGCTTTCCAAACGGTTTTCTGTGGCTTCAATCGGCCTACATGTGTAGTCTAGTAGCTTTGTTTCTTAATTTTTACAAAAAGGCTTATCTAGAGAAAAAGAAAGAACAGTAGCTAGGCCAGCCTTGTCAAACAAAACCTTAAATGATGATTAGAAATCAGTGACACATGTAATATATGATCGTACTTCTAAGGCCTGGGTCGAACGTCGTACTTTATTTGTGCCGTACTTAAACGTCGAACTCACACACCAAAATAATGTATTTTATGAAATTTATGGATTCAAACTGTCTATGGATTTTTAATTCAAATAATTGACTCCCGCTCAAGTTAAGTTCGACGTTCTACCCAGACCTTATACGTGGACTAGCGAGGTTTTGGAAACTGTCTTGATGACTTCTTGCATTGTTGASTGATTCTCATATATCATACACTGAAATGGCTTCCCGCGCTGGCACTTAAATGGTTTCTAGCAAATAGACGGTCATTTCAGTAATTTCTTTCTTTGATTATTTTTCCATTGATCTATCCCATACATTGCAGTTGCATGGTTTTCTGCATTTGCATGGCTTTCTTGCATGTGGACTGCATTTAAATGGCTTCAACGGTGTTTGTWGTCTCTGCACCCTCATAGAATTGGTTTCCAAATCCTCATGAACTCTTTATAGAAATTGATTTGGGTTAAACCTGTGAATACATTACATAACTTATTCAAAGACATATCCGAGAAGAGCTATTATTTGTATATTTGATATGAAAATAAAGCTATCTGAACTTTATCGCAACTGCTTAATTTATGCCGCTTTTTRCTGCAAAGGATGATGGTAGCTGTCGGTCCTCCTACTATTTCATGACCACTAAAATTGTTTTGCTTTTTCGACGTTTTGTCGTTTCTACAAAGAAAACGCAATAAATACTTTAAAGGAGATAGTTTAGGTTCTATGATTAGTGTGAGAACAACAACTACCATCATGCTTTGCTACACAAAATGGCGTCGCTGYACGTTGCCTTTTGAAAGCCGAGGCACGAGGCAACAGGCAAAACGAACACGCGTTACAGTGATTTTTTTCACCAAATATAACTATCGTCAATTGATATAGGCCTCAGAAGTGTTATCTAGYATTCGTTAAAGGTGTTAAGGACATCATTGCGGGCTGCGAATATAACAAAGACGTATTGTCTGGTACAGRGCCGAGACAGAATCAGCACGAAAAAGCGCCTGCGGAAAAGAAAACACTGGAAGCTTTTAACAACCATCATATTTCAATTCATGAGCACTAAAACACGSGGTAAATCTCATCATCTGKTMTAGTTAATTGATCGASTAAATCAAATTTTACCACGCAAAGCTCTTTAATTCTCAAGTTCAATTAAGAAATTATCAGCATCCAATGTTCTAGACGGTTAAATCAAACGAYAGCGCGCTCGATGTGRGAGAAATGACAGTTAACGTTAACAATRGAAAATGCTYCCCGACAAGGTCTGCRCACTTTRTACGGCAAAACAACTGTATCTTGATGAATTTTTGAGCTGTTTAGAATTTTTAGCTCTTTGGTCGAGCATTCTGACATCCAAACGCACAAATATGATGTTATTCGCTCGTTCTGTGAATTGCGCGAGAGCTTGTGTCAGTATTTAATTCGCTTTGCAAACGCTTGCTAAAAGGCGACATTTTTCTATAAAAAATAGGGGTTGGACTGCCTGTGTTTATCGGCCGAAAAAAAACAATCAAGATCTTGTGAAAAAATAAGTACAACAACAACGCACACAAAATACACTACAAAAAACATTGAAGAACAAAAAAACATAAGATAAAAAATCACTCGATTGTTTTCTGACTTTCTCCCGTACATTTACCGAGAATTCATAGMAAATACCCCAGTTTTTGCCAGTTAATAAACAATAACTTTGAAAAGTTTCCCTACACGCAACGCCCCGTCTGTTTTCCGTTCAATTCAACCAGCTTAGTATATTTCCCTCTGCCCTAAGCGGTATTTAGTTGTTATTTAGTTGTTTATATTAACTTCATGAACAAGTGGAGAGTTAACTTTTTGAACGATTTAAAATTCAGTCGCTAAGTTCTGTGCATGAAATTAAATCTTGCTGTGCTATTTGGTCAGCTTTTTCTGAAAACTGGTTAATTCAATTTTCRAGAAACTTCGCTGGTCAATGCGCTTTTCACGCTCTCAGAGAAAGTTCTAGACGCGCGGCGTTCGACGTTATAATAAGAGATAAGAATTTCACCAAAATTCTAGTTAAAATTAGCGCTGAAACCATTGACGAAAGCAAAAAATCCATTACTTTAAAAAAAGTGCGATTAATCAAGATGTGTGTGAAGTAATTCGGCCGAAAGACTAGTGACGCTAGTGATCTGATATAGAAAGAAATAGATGTGATGCCGCGAGAGTTACATAGCTATGAATACATACTATAACAACAATCACAATTTAGTGCAGTTTCTAATTGTTTTATTATTTCAAATCTTCCACAAAACAGCAAACTGTCACACTACAAATGTCTACTCATTATTCTTATGAACTCTTATAATAAATATCGATAGTTTTTGCGATTATAAACTTGTACAATGTCTTCAATAAAAATATACGTCTTTCTAGTCAATTCTCTCGATCACTACATGAGGTGATAATTCTAGTTTTTAGATTAGTGTACATCAATTTGTATCGCCCCGGGATAGGAAAAGATTGGAGGTCTATTAAACCACCACATCGCCTTCAATTTCGCACTAATAGTTCCAGAATTATCTCCATGGAGGACACTTCAGAACCTGGGGAGCGCTCGAAAGAAAATGTTCTTTAGTTCACTGTTCGGTGCGASCGAGAGTTGAATCTTTTTCAAGTAAAAATTCACATTTGCTGCGCTCGGATCTTTCGAGGTTGAAGTATTCTTCTTTATTCCCATCGTCATTTTGAACGCTAAAAATGCAAGTCGTAATTGTTCTTTGATGAATCTTCTGTAGTTCATCTATAATTTGTTAGTATTCTAGTTTTCTCTATTAGCGGGGTTAGTGTTGTAGTCAATGGCAGATCCATGCATAACATTCAGTTTTCTTACACGTGCATAAACTAGAGTCGATCCACTTCTCAGTCTTCCCCTTGATAATTCTTGGCTGTGTTCTTCGCTGTTGAAAGATTCTTTTCAATTCGGTATAAATTTAAAGTTTTTCTATTCTCTTTGCCATTTGTAATCACGCTTTCCTCTTAAAATCTCCTCTGATTTTGACTAAATCTCCTGGCAGTGCATCACACCCATTCTTCGACCTGCTCCTGTATAGCGTAGCTCTTGTGCAAAACCTCGGCGTTTCTACAACTAATTTCCTTGTTTACAAACTCAAGTCCTTTTCGTACGAGAACAGAGCTGTCGTCTTTTAGATATCTCGATGCAACATCGTATAAAGTATAAGTTATTTTTCTCTGCTTGGTTTCTTCTATGTTCATGTCTTTTGAATTCGGATCAAAGTACAGCACTTCGACAAGCTTTGCTGACCAATGTACTCCTCGTCTTTCCGGTGATTTTGCTCTTGGATTACTGTTGTCTAGATACTCGTACTCGGAGTACAGCGTTTGGAGCTCAGCGCTGCAAGTAAGCGCGTTGTCACGGGTTTTTTCGTAAGCCATCATGTTCTTCACTGTTCTTGTAATGTTCTGGGTTCTTTGTCGTAGTACGGCTTGTGTCTAACTGAGTCGCTTAAGTACAGTTGGTGTGTTTTAGCTACTAGTGTTTTGTTTCTAGCGAATGAATAATAAATGACTATTTTACGCAATCAAAGGGCTGACCGCATTCAAAAGCTGTGTTTTCACGGCAACATTTTCAAAACACGAAAATTGCAAACTCATAGAACCTCAAAATATCTCCAGGCATTTTGTACTTCGAGCAAAACATCTTAAATCAACAGGGAAACCTTTTAACTGTAAGTTGACTATGCACAAATTAGATTCTACCATAGAATCTTCTTTAATTATTTTATAATAAWTCAAACGCGCTTCCCAGACCAACGGAATTAAAGTCTCTATATTTAGCTTCGTGTTGATGTATCTAATTTTAAATCTAGCGGTTGGAAAATGAAGTAGATTTTACTCCCCGTCGCGAGATCATATCGCAAGTTTTGTCTTGAACCAAGCGCTTTTTCTCATCAATTATTCATTCTTTGTACTTTTACTTAAAAAAATGTGAAAAAAGCTTCAATCTGATCAAAAGCATGGTATAABATTGACCGCTAACATTTTTTAGCTCGTTTTCCCGCAGTTATCGCAGTAGGAACGATTTTCAAGATTACGTAATGGATTTGAGTGTTATGGGAGTTGCTTGGAACACTAAAAGTGCTTTTGAAAAGCGTTCAGTAGTTGTGAAAAGCCGAAGATGCGCGCAAAGTCCAGAAATACCACGCTCTCCCAGAATTGCGTAAAAACACAAAAACTTGGATTCAGCTTGTAAATTAGTCACGTTCAACAATTCATTAACATTTTAATAGATTCCCATCAGCATTCCATAGTCCTTAAGCGGTTTCCCAGTTAAATTGATGAGAAAATGCTAAAGATTTCTTAACAGCACTGAAATGGCTTCCATCGCACCCTCATTAGCCAATCAGAAAGAAAACTACATGAAAACAAATGAAAATTTTATTTGCTACATATGGTGACACTTTATTGGATTCGCAACGGTTTTTAACCAATCAGGAAACGACATTCGATTGGCTTTCTATTGTTTTTAAACCAATCAGCTGGCAAGGATTGGTTGTGGAATGATGTTGCTAGGAGACGTTGCTTTTCATAATATTTTGGAATCTTTTTTTGGCCTTATGACTCATTAACCAAAATYAAATGAGTGTGACTCAGAAATACTCTAATCTCTTGCCCATTATTTATAAGAAACGTGAATGAAGCGATCTGGTATGGCCATACTCACCAAAAACGTTGAATTTACAGCTGTTTCAATGAGGAATTCTACGATTTGGTAGCTGTAGCTTTAATACGGGACGACAAACAAAGCTGTAAACATTTCAAAACCTAGAAAAAGGATATTTATGAAATGTTAACAATAAGAGCGTGGGAAGCATGGAAAACGTAAGGCAGTTTTAGCACCGTTTTGCACTTCTCATAGAACCTGCTAAAATCGTGTTGTATGTATGACGCGCACGGCTTGTATGAAACAGCTATGGTCAAAAGTTGTGCAGTGTAAATCAACCTTTAGGTAGTTGTAGTGAGTTGTAGGCTTGATTTGAACGACGCAAATCGTGTTGTATGTATGACGTGCACAGGTTGTATGCGACAATTGTACAGTGTAAATCAACCCTTACATTACGTGGGTGCAGAAAGTTGTAAAAATGTATGTTGTTTCTGACGCACACAGATTTTTCAGTATTCATTAGCCTTGTAGTTAAAAAACAGTTAAAAACCTGATGCTCACGGCACATTTCGTGCAAGTTGTATATTATAAAGACACGCTAGTCGAGTTCTGGCCTCCTTTCGACACGCTCCAGGAATTGCGACATCAGCTTGACGAAGCGGACAGAAAAGGAGTCCAGAACTTGACCAAGAGACACGAAGGACGTACACAGTGTGCTAAAAGAGTTTGTGTCACGTGCCTGTGTATAATAATCACGCGATAGTCACGTGATAGTCACCTGTTCAATCTAAGTTTAGGTTTCGTTTACCTCTGGTCCATCTTCCGATAATATAAGCGTTCGTAACTCTCCAGACTTCGTTATTTCTTTCATATTTGAAAGAATATAACACTCGCAAAGAAGCACAAGGCTTGTAGCTTCGTATTTCTTCAAAACAAAACAAAAGAAAAATACTAGTTTAGCATTCTGACGAATAATATAAAGTAAGTACGCGCCAGGTTTCCCGATGAAAAATGGCGAATGCATAAAAATTTCTTCAAAAGTAAAATTCCCCTCCTTTTTTTTGTTCTCAGTTGTTTCAACTATATACTGTAAACCAAAAAAAGTTTCTTTTTGGATATTTAAGCGAATGAAATACAAAGTTGACCTTATGAATCATGATCTGAGATCGAGCGAACTTCAAGAAATTTTCAAATTGTTTTCTGATAAAACTGAAACTTCAGCTGCGGTTTTAACAATTAACTAATATCAAAAATAACAAATAAATGGAAGAACTTTTTAACCGTTAAAAAGTAGATGCGATAATTGTCACTAATGGTGGTCAAGGGCAAGTGAAAATTAGATCATGACACTGACCTTGGAAGTTGCGAAAGCATACCTTTGCTTGACACATTTTTAATGAACTATATAAAACCACTATTTTATTCACCTAGATATAAAGCTTTACATGGAATATTTTTCCTTTTATACGGTCATTGAAAAATATGATACATTATTTGAAATGAGGAAGTTGTACTCTGAAACAAAATTTCTGAAATGGTCCTTGAAAAAGTGCAATCACATGGCCTCGACTTTATCGAGAATTAGCCATTATTCAGTTACTCTTTGAGTCAATATGAGATAATACTCCACTTTCGAATTCAAAAGCGAAAAACCGCTGCTTTTTTGACAACAGATTCTATTGGGCAAAAGAACTTACCGAAAAAGCCTTGAAAATTTGCATTCTCTCCGAATGGAGACTAACCCTGTATTCTTCTGGTAATACAGAGTTAATATTAGCCTCAATTCGGGGGGAAATGTAAATTATTAGCTTTTTATAATAACGATTTTTTTCGTGCTTTCTTTTATGTTTGGTGAGGTCTTTCTCTTATAAGAGAATCTACTGTCAAATAGTTGTAAATCGCTTAGGATTCAAAAATTTAGTATTCAAAATATATATGTGGCGCCTTAATGTTTGGTGTCGCGGCGTGCCATCTTGTGAATGAAAGCGCCATTTTGAAGTCTTAAATATTAAATATCCATCCTACGAAAGGTGTAGCTGACTTGAAATATTAAAACATGACTGTGAATTCCAGCACGTTTCCATTAAACACTTTGATTATTTTGTGCTAGCAGAAGGATCGAGGCACATAGGTATAAAGATAATGCTTTTTTTGATTATCTGGGCAAAATTTCGTCATATTATTTATATCATGAGATGGATTCTCTTTCGCGTCAATGAAAAAAAATATAAATAACTGACGAACTTGTGATAAGTAAAAAAAAGAGTCTAAAATCTGCTAAAAACTATTCACTTTGTCATTCAAACGATTGATAAGTCATTCTTTAAGAACACACAAATAGTGTTTCACATGTATTTTCACTGAAAAATGAAATTTGGCTTGGGCACATAGTGGGGGTAGAGTTCCTTGAGGGGGGAAGGGGAGGGGAAGGGGAATTCATTCCCGTGGGGTAGAGGGGTGCGTCTAACCTTGGCTATTTTGTAAGTAGCGATAATGTTAGTATTATTAAGTTGATTTGCCAGCAGGAGTTCACAGTGGCGTTGAAGACCATCTAACTTGAAGACCGTAGCTGCATGAAGAAGCTAAAGAAATCAGATAAMAAAATCAGAATTAAATATAAACAGCTAGAACAGCCTTGAGTTATATTCGTCTTCCAAGGACRGTTTACAAAGGTGATTTTAGGAGGGATATTCCGCTAAATACTCCATTTTCGAATTCAAAGGGAATAAAGACCTTACCAAACACAAAAGAAACCACGAGAAAATTTTGAGAAAATTTAAATTTTCCCCGAGTTGAGGCTAAGACCCTGTATTCCCAGAAGGCTTAACCTTAGGTCTTATGGGAATACAGGTTTAGTCTCAACTCAGAGAAAATGAAAATCTTCAAGACTTGTAAAACGACATTTTCTCGTGCTACAAGACTTTTACAAGACGAGTAAGTTACGAGGTAGGAACGACTGATTTACGACGTACCCGACTCCCTTCGTAACATTTTCGTGCTACAAGACATAGTACAAGACGACTGTTACGAGGTAGGAACGACTGATTTACGACTGATTTTCGTAACACTCTCGGGAAAGACGACCCGTGACATACCTCCAAGACCTTGCGTTGTTGAGCAACGATTTTGTCTGTCCGTCCAGTGTAAACATAACGCATCATTAACTGTGAATAGAAAGCGACATGAATTAGCTTTATCCCCGRTCTATACCATGATGCACAGCGGCTGTGCACTAACCGTAAAGACGTCGTACTTTAWCTCTGGTATTTTGATGCATGGAACTTTTTCATTGGCTGATAAGACATCCTAAAAAAATAATAGTAGTTTTAAGTAATTGCGCAATATTTATCARGAGAATAGAGTGTTGAGGGTTTAATTACTACCCCCCTCCCTCGCAAATAAATTAAATTACGCTCTCCCCCCTTATTTATTTATYATTTGTGAATAATKAGAGTTCTCGCAAATCGTGGCACGCGTTTCTTGAAAAWATTTTCGAATCTGACACCGTTGATTTTTTAGTTTCCAATTAAAGTTCTACTTAATTTTAGACGTTGCTTCCCCTCTTTAAGCACATAAAATTAGATGTTGCCCCCCCCCTGAATTCTCAATCCCCCCCCTCCTGATAAATATTGCATAGTCCCTAATTACAGATGTCAGCTTTCTGCAGCTGTTACCGTTGTTTATTTTACCAGTGCAATATTGTAAAACGTTTAAATTGAAAACTTTGTTGTTGTTAAAAACCCTAGGGTTATGATGTTAAAAACCCAAAATATCTTTGTAGGGCAGTGGATAAATCAAGTAAAATGTGGCTGCATATGGCGTGACCAAATATACTGCTAGCCCCAAATAAAAAGGCCGTGTGCGAACGCTACCTCATAGAGGAGTGAAAAGTAATAGTACAATGAATGATGAAAAGAAAATAATGGAAGGAAAAAAAAATGTCAAAGAAAAGTAAAGAATGTGAAAAGGATTAAAGCCATCATGAACATCTGCATCTCAACTACAGATCGCCCGCTCATAATGTATATATTACTAAATTGAGGACTTTTTCATAGGCGACATATTTTTATTGAACCGTGCCGTCCATCTTATACGAATTCAAGGACATCGTACTGATCTATCAGTACAGTTTCTCGTTTCAAGGCTAGTACCTTTTCTATGACAACACTCACCACATTTAAAGATAATTAAATTTTAAACATTGGTCGCAGAATTAATCAACTTAAGCCACCAGCACATATATTTCACTTATAAATAATATATCGGTCACTTAAAGTTTTACACACAGGTATTACAAAAAAAAGTGCCAGCCGCCATTGAAGTCTTTTACAAATTGAGGTGTTAAATTTTGCAGTTTGTACTTTTATTGCTGTAAAAACAGCGAGAAGATAAACTACACAAGGATGAACGAGTCAAACATATCACTCGCCAACGTCTCTAACATCAGTACGGTTAACACCTACTGCAAGTACGATGAACCTGACACCGATGTTGAGAAAATTGCCAAACGCACTGCCTATGTACTGCTCATTGTACTGGGGATTTCTTTCAACATCTTCGTCATCGTACTCGCTGCTAAATTCACAGTACGCAAGAACCTGCATTATTTGATCATCAACATGGCCGTCTCAGATGCTCTATATCTTCTTATGAGCTTATTTCACGCTGTTCCATGGCTGTCGGACTATAAATGGAACATATATCCCAGGGGTACAYTGGGCGTCATAATCTGTAAAAATGCAATATTTCTTGTGAACATTTCTTATTTTGTCTCTTTAATCACTTTACTAGTAATCACCWTTGAACGATTCAGAGTAACAAGACAAACCTTGACAAGATCAAGACCATACACACTAAAACAACGTATGATAATATTTGGAGTGTGTTGGTTAATCCCCATATCAAGTTCTTCCTATTCAACGTATAGAGCAAAATTATCACATTACAGAATTTGTTATTTGCCACATGGTACTTATTCTATCATTTTTAACATTTCATACATTATCCTCTGTTCTATAATAATCGTTCTCAGTATTCTAACAACAAGACGACTATCCAAACCCAGAACCATCCAAGCCAATCTAAGCGAAGAACAGCTAAACTTACGAAAAAGACGAACTCTAGCAGCCATACGAATGGTTCTCGCATCAGCACTGCTTTATATTTGTTGCTGGATTCCCATTTGCTTTGTTCAAGTACTGACTGCTGTAATCTTTTTCCGATCCTGCATTGACTGGGCATCGTTGTATTTCATCATATACTATATCTTTCCCGTAGTCAACTCTTGCTTCAGTCCTTGCATATTCATCGTATTTCTGCCTGACTTTAGACAAGCGGTAAAGAATGTTTTGTGTCGAAGAAATAATCTGAACCAGATCGCAAACAGAAGGAATCCCACAGAACTACAACCCATGCCAAACCCAATACAGTCAAATCTCGCTATTACGGACACCCTCGGAACCGTTATTTAGTGTCCGCAGTAGCGAGAGTCCGTAGTTACGAGACTTACTTTCAGTAGTCATTTCTTTGTATTTTTCGCCGGGGATTCAGTATTTTACTGTCCCCAATATCCAGATGTCCGTTGTAGCGGAGTGTCCGTAAGGCGAGAGTTGACTGTAGTATATGACTATTCTATTTCATGATCAATTATTTCATTGTATAGATGACATGCATCACTTTGAAACTTGTTTCTGATCCCAAAGTCAGTAACTAAAATGTTTCTAGATCACCATCAATGATAATAATATACTTTAATAGACTCCTCCTCAAAACTTTAATCTCTTAGTCATRAATAGAACGATTAACACACACCTGTACGCATCTGATCACCAAAAGAATGACAGTAATTAAGAAATTCTCAAGTCAATGTAAAGGACAAAGAACAAATGAAAACCAAACCCGGCAATGTTTATTAATATAATTACATACATCTGCTTGTCACGTGACTTGTCCAAACCCTCCATCATGGACACTGGTGAAAAACGCACTGCGCATGTCCACAGCTTTCCCGCTGAAATCCAATCTCGTACCTAGAGCCGCCTTACCAAGAGGAACGGCGACTCTGGGTACGAGATTGGCTGAAATCTGCCTAATTTCCTTTGTAAAGTGATTTTTGTGAAAGTTTTTTACAATTTATAAGCTCGTTCACCGATATATAATGGGGCTTGACTTACTAACTAGACAGACCAAAGGTAGAACGTACTGGGGATCTTTATTCGTCGTTAACTTCGTGCAAGATAAATCACAAGTGTGTTTCACATTGTATATACAATGTAGAATAGAGTGTAAAACATGGTGTCAATATCTCTTCTGAGTCGAGTATATGTGTTCTCTCTTGATTATGTTAAGGGTAGGTCTATTTATAAGCTGAAACTTGCTAAACTGGTTATTCTATATGTCTTCATGATAATGGTGAATATTCATTATCTGGTCATGACATAACTTATTGACTCGTGAACTCTTGTACAAAAGAAACTATTTGTTAACCCATCGACAAAGCGTCGATGACAAAGACTTAAGTAATGATTTTTACATAAACTGAGTAATAAGAATATAAGTCTTATTCAGTAAAAGATCATAGATAGATTCTGATTCAAAGTTAATAGCAAACAATACTGTAATTGGTGACGCTGATTAGATATTCCAATAAGAATTAATCACTGATCAAAACTGGTTTTTTAACGACAGCTGAAATACAGAGTAAGATTTCTCATCCTGATCAAACAGTATTTTAAGAGTGCTGGACAAAGGTGTTGTAGAATGTTAACAGATAACGAACCATTGAAATAATAATTAAGTTCTTACTGGAAGCTTGATGATGCTATGATAACTCAGTAGCCAGAATAATTATAGTTCACTTGAGTCGAAATATGAGACAACTAGAAATGGCCTCGCTACAGATATATAAGATTCATATTTCCATCAATCTTTGTTCATGATAGGTCCTTTTAGCATGTAGTTTCTATTTTTATCTTGTCATTTCTATTTTGAGAAAATGGAGTTTTTCGTAGTGTTTTCTGTGTTGTCGCTGTAAATCGCCAGGCGCTCTGTTTACAGATTTCAAGACGCCCAAGACGCCCACTGGCGGGAAAGCTTTGGGTATGCGCAGTGCGTTTTTCACCAGCTGGTGTCTCCATCATGTATAAACTCATTTATTGAGTTTCTTTTCAATTTGACCGTACAGTTTTGACCGTACAGTTTTGACCGTAATGGTACGCAAAGACGCTTTGAAACATTATTAATAAGAATTTTATTCTAKAATTGCCAGTKTTCTATTAAAATTCAATGCCGCAYGCGAAATTCACGTACTTCCGTTCCATCAAAATTAATATTTTCTTTTAATGAAAACATGTCATAATTGATAGCAAATGTCAATTTTTAGTATTGAAAACTTTTATGAGTTCATCATAAGGTACATARGAGTGTCTTGGTGTTATTATTTGTATTATTTTACAACGATCTACAGACAGCGAGAAGATAAACTACACAARGATGAACGAGTYAAACATATCACTCGCCAACGTCTCTAACATCAGTACGGTTAACACCTACTGCAAGTATTGGGAACMYGAGACCGATGTTGAGAAAATTGCYAAACRMACWGCCTWYKTACTGSTCAYTGTACTGGGGATTTCTCTCAATATCTTCGTCATCATACTCGCTGCTAAATACACAGYACGCAAGAACCTGCATCATTTGATCATCAACATGGCCGTCTCAGATGCTCTATATCTCTTTATGAATTTATTACACCATATTCAATGGCTGTCTGACAATAAATGGGGCATATATCCCAGCGGTACACTAGGTGTTATAATCTGTAAAACTGAAACGTTTTTTCTTGAAATTTCTTATAGAGTATCCTTAATCAGTCTATTAGTAATCAGCATTGAACGATTCAGAGCAACAAGAAACACTTTAAGAARATCGCAATCATACAAACTAAAACAAAGAGTGKCTGTAATTGGAGTCTGCTGGTTGATGCCCATGGCARTCGCTRTTTATCCYACTTGCACAGCAAAAGTGACTCATGTCCGTTTTTGCACCTGGCTAAATATTGGTTCTATTCATGCTCCGATTGACGTTTCTTCAATAATTATTCTCTGCAGTGTTATAATCGTTCTCAGTATTCTAACTACAAGACGACTATCCAAACCTCAAGCCATCCAAGCCAMTTTAAGCGAAGAACAACAAAAGATTCGAAAACGAAGAGCTAAAGCAGCCGTACGGATGGTTCTCGTATCTGCATCGCTATATCCTTGTTGCTGGCTTCCTATTTTTGTTTATAAAGCTATGAGAACAAAAATTTCCTCTCAAATTGCCTGTAATGACTTAAGTTTGTTCCTTTTTATCGTCCGTTTATTYCTTCCCATCGTTAACTCCTKTTTGAGCCCTTGGATATACATCATATTTCTGCCTGACTTTAGACAAGCGGCAAAAAAAGTATTGTGTCGAAGAAATTCTTTGAACCACGCGGCAAACAGAAGAAATTCCACACAACTACRACCCATCCCAAACCCARTAGAACATRACAGGAGAAAATGACATTATTATGAAGATCAAGAAATCTAGAACCGTGTTACATTCAAAAACATTCAATCCCGCAGTATATATAGGGCTGTATATTTACTCTATACAAAGTAGGGAAATTTTGTTGGTATTTTTCCTCATATATTAAGTTACTATAGGATGTATACAGGGTAAAAAAGCACTTAGAACTTTTATCTCATAAGAATTAATAACATCCTTTAATTAACAAATAAACCTTTGGGAACCAAAACAGTTTGCTTTGTGTCTGTGTAAATGTATTTCTGAGGAGTGGAAAAAGGGAAGGGAAAGGAACAAGTTAAAGGCGCCGGTAAGAAAATTTGAACCTCGGAACTGCGCGACAAATCCGGTGGATGCGGAGGCGAGAATGATCCAATGCACGTCCTCCAAGTGCCATGGTCTATTGGGTGTCCGTAATAGAGAGATTGACTTCACTTCACTAACCTTAAATGCGATTGATGCGGACGCAAGGATGATTTTATGTCCGTAGAACGGCTGATCCTCAACAAGAAACGYSACGTCAGACATCTCACGATTATTGACATAATTGACACCTGTCAATCATCATAAGCAAACATTAATTTTAGTTGCGGATTAATAACAATCAAAGAATTATAACGATAATAMAAATGACGATGACTATATTTATGATACTGATGACAATAATGATGATAACGATGACGTCATACCTATTTTAATCGCAGGTGTGGCCGAAGGTAATTCGGTAATTTTGGGCAGCGGTTCATCGCCAAAGCAGAARGAGAAAACAGAGGCGAGTTCAACGGACAGCGTCGCTTCCTGGAAGAAATAAATCGACTCTGAACATAACCAGTAGGGGATGAAACCCCCACCCAAGCCCCCCCCTTCCCCACCACTACCCCCACAAGATAATCAACATATCCAAAACCCTTACCTGACATTCTCTGAAAATTGTAAACAACAGGATGAGCCCATCGTCACAGAACTCAGCGGTATATTCACGTTTTGAAATCGACTGAAAGTCTCTCAAAAGGCAACGCATCTGTGACGTCATGGATGACGTCATATTCGTGTGATATGCATGATAAAGAGCTTGGGACCAACAGTGAAGATTCCATGGAACACCTAGGGAGAAAAASACCCTGTTTAAACCAGCCACTGTTTTTTCTCGTATRGAGTCCCCTTTCCAGTGTCCTATTCAACTGAGGAGCAGACGTTGAGTTGTATTTTGACCTATATTTTTTGCCTTGCCATTTTMTCTTAATACTCACGTTAAGAAATGATGTTCACTAATTTATCGGTTAACTTTGTGATTGGTCAAAGAATCCAAAACAACTTTTTTTAAGGTAGTTCATTACCTAAACTTCTGATCTCCATAGCAACGTCAAGGTACCCGTKCTCGCAGCTGTGGTAGATTGCTTCCTGGAATCAAAAACAACAGACAACGAAGAGTTGAAAGACAAGTTTCATGGTACGATTTGTTTWCAATATTCTTATAACCTGTAAAGCCCTGCATCTTTTCTTGCTTAACTTTTTTGATTTCCTTTGATTTGTAGACGAGCCTGGTAAGGATATAGGTTATGAGTACAACAGTAAAATGTTTTCTGCCCMAAAAATGCTCAACCAAGGAATCATCACTGCTATGTTTACCATTCCGGTCACACTAGTCCGTTTTTGTAGCGCTTTTCTATTGTTCTCCGTATTCAAGGAAGCGCAAACAATAAAAGACGCTACGGAAACGCATCAGCGTGAACACGACCTTTGCGTTTCCTTTGCGTTTTTGTATTGGTGTCCATCCCTTACGTGTTGAAAAACAAATAGGAAAACCTTACGAATCAAAAACGTAATGCATCAATGCGYAACGGGACCAAAATACAAGACTTCATGACGTCACAGTTTACCACRTGATATTTCTCACCTTCCGCTAAGATTTCCGCCAATGACATCATTTCTGCATCATCTTGTGCCGAGGGCGCCTCGGCCAACAGCTTACGTAGTATTCTGCGATGACCAAGGGCAGCGGCTGCAGCAAATGTGTTACTGAAACCCAGTCTTCCTACGCCGAGTGGAAACGTGACGTTGATATTGGCACCACGTGCGCAAAGAAGAGAGACTATGTCATAGTTACCTAGCAACGATATGACGCAAGTGAATGACGTAATATCTGAATCACAGTAGTTTACACAAAACCGTTTAGCGTGCAATGATAGATACCTGTGAATAATTGTCTGTAGGTGTGAAAGAAGGTTTCTATCATTGCACGCTCAACGGTTGTCTCGCTTCGATGTAAAGGCACGGCTACCTTTCAAGATGGCGCTGGGAACCATGAAGGAGACTATTGGTACACATTTAAATGTTGATATGTGAAGACTACGGTAATTATCATGACCAAATAAGGTATTGACGGGACGTCGTAGTGAAAGAGATATAAAATGTGGAATTACCAAATAAGGTATGTACCTGCTACTACAGCCAGCTGAAGCGGTGTTTCAACTCCACTAGTGACGTCTGCGTTGCCATTGACGTTTGCACCGGCATCCAATAACATCTACCAATAATAAAACCAATATCCAATTACACTTTACTGATATGATTATCGGTAAAAATAGAGGGAGAGTTTGGCTGAAATTGGCGACTGAGGATCGTATTGCGTATGTTTGGCTTGACAAGGGGTTGGCTAACTTAACAAATTCGAGACTGCAGAAAATGTCTCTTGCAGAAAATGTTTCTTGCAGATGACCTACGCTGCTTTATAATCTATCACTTTCAAAATGACTCCCTTTTCAATTGAATATTAACTAAATCATAATCACAATTTTTACTACTGAACCCTAGAAAGAATGTGCGGCTAGACCCCTATATCAACCCTGAATGCGCCCTTGGATTGCGATGTAATTATCACCTATAGACCCCTTGCAGTTCATGGGGATGCAGCTACAACTGGAGGACAAAACAATAGATTCTAGTTCCCAAGAGGGCAAAAATCTTTTGTTTTGCCCTCCAGATGAAGCTGCTTTGACGTCACATGCAAGGAGTCTATACAATCATCGTAAAGAAGCCTCTTCCAAGCACACACCTGACATATATGTAGATAGCCYTTGGAAACTGCAAACGACAGTGCTGTCCACGAGAAAACGTCAGGGTCAACTAACGGGTACTTCTTGCYGTCTCTCGATACCTTTAGCAACACGTGATAACTCCTTATTTGGATATGAGCTTCCATATATGGTCAATAGTTTACTTAGTCAAGCAAAACGTGAGAACTTCCTATATGGTCAACAGTTTGTTTTACCAGTGTAACAATCAAAAATGCAACACCTTATTTGGACTTAAACTTCCATATATGTTCRACACTATACCTTATTTGTGTATTAAGCACGTGGCACTTACTTATAATTTGGTTAAAAACGTTCATTTATGTTTGCACTTACCTGTGTGTCAAGCAACACGTGACTGTCAAGTAGAAGTCGAACGAGGGACGGTTCTCCTTGTGARCATGCGTACATTAGAGGTGTCATACCCTACGTCGGAAACCATCTCAGTGTTAAAATAAATAACAGAAAGCCATTTTTAAACAGTACCAGTTTGAGTTTATCAACCTAAGTAGTTATAGTAARATGCAGGCTTCATTTATACGACGGAAATTCAGCTTACCCGTTGATCGATGGAGTTGCCTTTCTTACCACCAATGTGGGACATCGTTGACTTTCCATGTTCACCACTTAAGAGCATGCGCAGACCGAGATTTATTGTGAAAAAATCTTCAAAGTCCGRTGAAGTCGATATGATTGGGATATTATCAGGCCTTCACAAATAGACATTGAATATTAAATACAACTTTGTAAATAGTCCAAAGGCGCCATATTATTACTTACCCCAATATCCTGTAGCTGCAATTGTTWAAAGGCAAGAGTAACCTGGCCGCTTGTCTGACGTCATCATCATCTACAAAACCGCTGAGCCTATGTTCGGCGTGCACACATGCGACACGAAGCCATTCGGTCAGCGGTGGAAGACTGTGGTGTGATCTGAAAGGACAGACAGACAGACAGAAGTTATTGGAAAACATTTAGTTGATCCTGTGAGACAATAAAGAACGAGAAAATGTTGTTTTACATTTTCCCCGAGTTGAGGTTAACCCTGTATTCCCAGAAGGCTCAACTCGGAGAAAATGCAAATTTTCAAGGCTACTGTAATAACGACATTCTTTTCTCGTGCTTTCTTTTGTGTTTGGTCAGGTCTTTGCGCAAGAGAATCTGTTGTCAAATAGAGCAGCGGTTTTTCGCTATGAAATCGAAACTGGAGTATTAGTCTATAATATCTATAATATGATATTATCACCACAGGATGCATTTCAACACAAATTCAACTTACTTTTTACTTGTCAACAGCATTTCTGTGTTGTTGTTGCCATCTTTATTGTGCACACAATTCATAAAGAAAAACARTGTCTCCATGGCGATAGGTAACCAGGCCAGCTGCGACAAGGCTCGGTTCTCTTTGCATTGTTTTAATTGGCTGAAAYGTTGTTGTACTCTAGTTACCAGCTCACGCAGCTCAGCTAAAGTACTGACGCATGTTGTGATGAAGCACGTTTCGAGAGCTTTGGTACTGTTTGGCTTTYCTTCTCTCTTCGGACTAGCTTGATCTTAAAAATAAAAAGATAGTAACAAAATATAACCTTAAGTCGAATGAATAATGAATGGAGACGGAAAGGATGAATGAAATGGGATAATGAATGAATACTGAGATAATGAAATGGAAATGAAGTTAGCAAGTCAACTGAGTCAACAATTCAACAGTTTGATCAATAGAAGTACAAATATCATAGGCCGCCCGACTATTGCTTGAGTGAAAGGAAAGAACGAATACGCAAGCTTTGTCTTTTATGTTATCGAGCGCGCTCTCAGCAGAATGCGGATTACCTGTGGTACTACGTCACGATCCCTGGCCTCGCGGGTCTACACACACTAGTCTAACAAAGCGCGCGCTGCTAACATAAAAGACATATATTGCGTTACTTAAAGCAAATATAGTCTGCTAATGATTGGCAGTTTATTCTGATTACAATACACTGTAAATATACTGTTGACTCAAAAATACAAAAAACCTTAATAAGATTTTATGGATGAGTGAATTTCTTTGCACCAAAGTAAAAAAGTCTGTAGTAAACAGGTCTAAAGCTGTGATGCAATTTTCGGCTTTTGTTGCTGCAAAATTACAGGATAAACGAAAAGAAGGCCACGTAGCGAAGGAAACAAAACATTGTTGGACTTGTGGAAATATGCTATTGTTTGCAGTGTAACAGCCTCGTTGTTAACGTAAATAATATTTTCAAAAATAAACTTAGGAATTAAAGTTTTCTTGAACAGTTTTTTGCGCTCTAAGCAAAGAAAAAAAACAACAAAAACTCGCAAAGGGCACATTTTAAAGTGTCTCCGAGAAATCATTTAGGTTGTTAAGGTGTCATTAGCCTATAATTAACCTTTTACATGTTATGACAAACAGCCGACATCCTTCATTCTTAGCGCAAAGGATCATGGTCTTACACTGGTCATGGTCAATACACTTTTGTGGCAGCCATTTTGTTTAAATTTAGTGTTAAACTTATTCCACATTTAAAGTAAATTTTCCCCACAATAAAACACGCTTTTCGTGATTTCACAACCTAACGAAACATAACGACTAAATCGATATACCATATACCACATAATCGGCCATTTAGCCTTGCCATATAGACCCATATACGCGTAGCCCGGGACGCGAAGCGGGGGAGTGTCTGTCATGGACATCAACCAAGAAATGCCATGGCGTTGCTGTGCGTTTTTTTCTCAACATCGGTGTCAGGTTCATCGTACTTGCAGTAGGTGTTAACCGTACTGATGTTAGAGACGTTTGCGAGTGATGTTCATGACTCGTTCATCCTTAAAATGCATCTTTTCATTTGCACTTAGGCCTCGATAGCAAGTTAATTATTCTTTTAAATTTGACAAATGAGACTATTCATATCAATGTTTGCATTGCTCACATTCCTACAAATTCAAAAGAATATTTAACACACTGTCGAGGCTTAAGAGGAACTGAAAAGGTGTATTCTTATAATAATAGTAATAATGATAAAGTTCAAAGACATATATTAAGATGAATATAGCAGCTACGACTAACTTGCTAAGCATTATTAGTATAAACATACTAATGGTCTATCACTCATACTGCGCTGTGATTGGCTACTCTACTAATGGTCTAATTAACATCGAGTGGACTACGAGCTAATAACCCATGAGGCCGAGTCCGCGAGGTCTAATTGTTTTAGTATAACATACTAATCGGTCAAATAATGAAAACAAATTGAAAAATCCTTAAAATAATTTACAATTTACAATTTATTTATTTTGATTTTCCCGCGAGTGGTCTATCACAAATTAGTCTGGGTGATTGATTTGCGACCAGGCCTGCCTATGAATTCGCCAAGGTTGTAAGCCAGTGAGCCCGTGCATTTTTGTTAAGCGGTCATATTTTGAAAGTGTAAATAAAGAAAGGGAAACCCCGCATCTCGCCTTTCACTCAGACAAACAGTACAAGTCGTGTTAAATTTATTTACATAACTAAACAAAATAATTATAGAATTAAACCTTTAAGAATTGAATGCTCATATGAAACATTTTCCACCTTAAATACACACGCGTTTTTCAGAAGGGAATTTAGTCGAACTTTTTTCACGATGGAATTTTGTTTTGAGTCGTTTCGACATAAACAGTCGCTATCAAGACATTATATGAAAAACCCCAGTCGCCGTTCTAGCTCTCGTTGTAAG